ATTACACACCTGACCCTCCACACTCTGTACATTACACACCTGAACCCCAGCACTCTGTACATTACACACCTGACACCCCACACTCTGTACATTACACACCTGACCTGCACTCTGTACATTACACACCTGACCCCCACACTCTGTACATTACACACCTGAACCCCAACACTCTGTACATTACACACCTGACCCCCAGCACTTTGTACATTACACACACGTGCACTTTGTACATTACACACGTGCCCCAACACTCTGTACATTACACACATGACCCCCAGCACTTTGTACATTACACACCTGACCCCTGCACTCTGTACATTACACACTCTGTACATTACACACCTGACCCCAGCACTTTGTACATTACACACCTGACCCCAGCACTCTGTACATTACACACCTGAACCCCAACACTCTGTACATTACACACCTGACCCCAGCACTTTGTACATTACACACCTGACCCCAGCACTTTGTACATTACACACCTGAACCCCAACACTCTGTACATTACACACCTGACCCCTGCACTCTGTACATTACACACCTGACCCAACACTCTGTACATTACACACCTGACCCCAACACTCTGTACGTTACACACTTGACCCCAGCACTTTGTACATTACACACCTGACCCCAGCACTTTGTACATTACACACCTGACCCCAGCACTTTGTACATTACACACCTGACCCCTGCACTCTGTACATTACACACCTGACCCCCACACTTTGTACTTTACACACCTGACCCCAGCACTTGTACATTACACCACCCCTGCACTCTGTACATTACCCCTGACCCCACTCTGTACATTACACACCTGCCCCAACACTCTGTACATTACACACCTGACCCCTGCACTCTGTACATTACACACCTGACCCCAACACTCTGTACATTACACACCTGACCCCAGCACTCTGTACATTACACACCTGACCCCCCAACACTCTGTACATTACACACCTGCCCAAACACTCTGTACATTACACACCTGACCCCAGCACTTTGTACATTACACACCTGACCCCTGCACTCTGTACATTACACACCTGACCCATTACACACAACACTTGTGTACATTACACACCTGCCCCAACACACTCTGTACGCCCCAGCACTTTTACACACCTGACCCCAGCACTTTGTACATTACACACCTTATACCCCAGCACTCTGTACATTACACACCTGACCCCCCACACTCTGTACATTTACACACCTGATTACACCCCCACACTCTTGTACCTGACCCCAACACTCTGTACATTACACACCTGACCCCCACACTCTGTACATTACACACCTGGCCCCCACACTCTGTACATTACACACCTGACCCTCCACACTCTGTACATTACACACCTGCCCCCAGCACTTTGTACATTACACACCTGACCCCTGCACTCTGTACATTACACACCTGACCCCTCCACACTCTGTACATTACACACCTGACCCTCCACACTTTGTACATTACACACCTGCACTCTGTACCTCCACACTCTGTACATTACACACACACCTTACACACCTGACCCCAGCACTCTGTACATTTACACACACCTGACCCCAACACTCTGTACATTACACACCTGACCCCTGCACTCTGTACATTACACACCTGACCCCAACACACTCTGTACATTACACACCTGACCCCAACACTCTGTACATTACACACCTGCCCCAACACTCTGTACATTACACACCTGACCCCAACACTCTGTACATTACACACCACCTGACCCCACACTCTGTACATTACACACCTGGCCCTCCACACTCTGTACATATTACACACCTGACCCCAGCACTTTGTACATTACACACCTGACCCCACACTCTGTACATTACACACCTGACCCCTGCACTCTCCACAACTCTGTACATTACACACCTGACCCCAACACTCTGTACATTACACACACACCTGACCCCAGCACTTTGTACATTACACACCTGCCCCCAACACTCTGTACATTACACACCTGCCCCAACACTCTGTACATTACACACCTGCCCCAACACTCTGTACATTACACACTTGACCCCAGCACTTTGTACATTACACACCTGACCCCAGCACTTTGTACATTACACACCTGACCCCAGCACTTTGTACATTACACACCTGACCCTCCACACTCTGTACATTACACACCTGACCCCAGCACTTTGTACATTACACACCTGAACCCCAACACTCTGTACATTACACACCTGCCCTGTACAAACACTCTGTACATTACACACCTGGCCCTAAACACTCTGTACATTACACACTGACCCCTGTACATTACACACATGACCCCAGCACTTTGTACATTACACACCTGACCCCTGCACTCTGTACATTACACACCTGACCCCAGCACTTTGTACATTACACACGTGACCCCCGCCCCAACACTCTGTACATTACACACCTGACCCCAGCACTTTGTACATTACACACCTGACCCCTGCACTCTGTACATTACACACCTGAACCCCAACACTCTGTACATTACACACCTGCCCCAACACTCTGTACGTTACACACCTGACCTCAGCACTTTGTACATTACACACCTGACCCCAGCACTTTGTACATTACACACACCTGACCCCAGCACTTTGTACATTACACGCCTGAACCCCAACACTCTGTACATTACACACCTGACCCCAGCACTTTGTACATTACACACCTGACCCCTGCACTCTGTACATTACACACCTGATCCCAACCCTATGTATATTAAACATCTGACCACCACACTGTGTACATGACACAACCGACCCTGCACTAGGTATCGTACCCATCCTGGATCCCTGCACTATGTACGTTACATACTTCTGACTCCTGCATTCAGTACGTAAGCACAAGTTTTAAGGCCCTACCCCACACGCACACACACACTCTGAGAGGCGGGTGGATGTCATCATGATCTCCACCTCTGCCAATCAGAGGAAGCTTTATCTTCATTCAGAAAATACAAAACATCATGTAAATTAATGAGCAACACTCAGCCAGACTTGATTTTGTTCCGGGAATAGGACAGGAAGTTCCCGCACTGCTGCTGGAACACGGCGCTATATAATGTATGTTGCTGATGCTACATCCATTTTTATACAGAACTCACAGTGGGCGCCTCTGTTAGTAAAGGAAATAGTTCCTTTGGACCAGCTTGGGCCAAAGAAACTTTTTTAAAGTAAAAAACATATGTAGTTCAGTTTTAACAATAAATGTGAAATAACAGAATAATGATGAATGATTGATTAAATAATGATTGTGATTGTACCCCATTCTCTGTCCAAACAAACATGATTACATTCCTACTTTGTGATAATCCTTCTCTGTTGTCTATGGGTACCTTTTATTATTCTTCATTTGTAAAGACATTAGATCAATCTCTTTTTCAATCCATTAGGTCCTCTCCTAGCCGTTTATCATGTGTTTGATTGCTTAATTTGATTGCTGCTTCACAATGCATGGCGTTGCTAAGCCTGTGAATGCCTTCCCATTCATCTACTGTTCTGAGATGGAAGGATGCAATGTACAAAGTGATACCACTTATTGTATGTTTTGTGCCGATCCCAAATGGTTTACAAACTCTTGTTTCATATCTAACCAACTTCTTCATTGCATCATCAATAGAATTTGGAGGAAAAACACGGGGTTTGATACGGCCGTACATTAGTGAATTAGGAAATCATTTAGAATTGGTTCCAAGCTTACCATCTATTGACCAGGCCCAGGTGCTATCCTATAGAATTGTGCACACAACATGACCAGCATAGTGTGCCACCATCGGGACTGTATGGGGTCAAGTCATTAAGCAGCAAGAGTTAAAGTGATCACCTTCTGACCTCAATCCTTCATTAGTTTTCTCATTCTTGCCTGATAATCCAATTAAAAGTCAACATAAAAAATCACATGGGGGCCTCAGTTTCCAGGAAACAAGATCGGCCACTGTTGCTTCCCTTGAACAGCATGGCTAGTCATGTTCTGGTCCTTTAAGTTTCTAGGGGGTAAGGCAGGCCAAATTTCTTTCCTGCAAGCATGGATTTCAGGAAACAAATTTTCAATTCCCCCATCTACACAAATAGTGTTGACAGGGGAATCCCTCTCGTCGAATGATTGTGCTCTCCTGGTGGGGAAAGACATCCCCGCCAAGAGAAGACAGTGATTAACCACTTCAAGTCCGGACAGTTTCACCCCCTTCCTGCCCAGGCCAATTTTCAGCTTTTAGTGCTATCACACTTTGAATGACAATTGCGCGGTCATGCAACACTGTACCCAAAAAGTTTTGTAAATAAGTAATTTTTCTCCTTCAATGATGGGCACTGATAGACTGCACTGATGAGGCTGCACCAAATGAATGAATTTTTTAGCATTTTTTTTTTGAGACAGATAAAACTTTATTTTGGTAGTATTTATTCACCACTGGAATTTTAATTTTTTTTGCTATATAAATTAAAAATTCCAAACATTTTGATAAAAAAAAGTGTGTTTTTTTTCAAAATAAAATTTTGCAAATAAATAATCTTTCTTTATAAATTTTGGCCAAAATGTATTCATATATCTTGTTAGTAAAAAAAATATTAACCCAAATTAGTTTATAACCAAAAATTATCATTTTTCCAAAAAATGTTTTTATATTTTTATTTTATTTTTATTTAATTTTTTTATATTATTATTTATGTGTTTTTGTTTTTTTAACATACCGTCACCCTAGCAGTACAGTGTTACCATAGTGACACTGTACTACTTGGGGGTGATGAAGATTTTTGTTTTCTTTTTTTACACTGATTGCTTTTACACCCATAAAGGCTGTAAAAACACTAATTTCTCCTTCTCTCTGGCTGCATTCTTCCAGCCATTGAGAAATACTGTGAGAGCTGTGATTGGTCATAGCTTGTCACATGGTACAAGGCTGTTGTGAATAGCCTTGTACCATGTGACCTTTGTGATCATTCACAGATTTCACACATAGTAAGCAATGATGTCAGGAAGTGACATCTTGTTTACTACTGTTCCTGTGATCACTGATTGGCCAATCAGTGATCACATGAATTGGGACCTCTCACAGAGGTTCCGTACAGCGATCTGTGTTCGAACACAGCGCACAGGCAGTGAATGCGGTGGCTGTTTATAAAAGGCCACCCGCTCCTGCATTGCTCCCGCCCAACCGTTTATGTACATGGGCCTGACGGGAAGTGGTTAATACTAGCGTCTATAGCAGCCGCTAGCAATAATTGCATGTACAATCCAGCAGGCTGGTTGCACCTGAGTTGATCGATTGAGTACTTGGGTACATTCAGCTTGCTCATACTTGGTTCAAATCTTGGCCAATTTTTGCTGAACCGGCTGAGGTTCGAACTGTCTATGACCAGAGTTATAATGGCAGTCCCTGGTCTGTTCCCACTTATAAACACCTATACTCTTTCAGGGGCCATGTGCGGCAAGCATTGTTGCCCCTGTGAGAAGCAATCTGCGATGCAACATTTTTCAGAGCCATTAGACTAGTGGTTTGGAGGTGAGAAGCTACCATTGAAAGCCTGCCACACCGCACTGCAGCTGCGTGCATTACACATTCTTGCAGAGAAGTAGTGGCGTGCCGCTAATCGCTTTAGTGGGTTGTGTTTGTTGATGCCTGTGACATAAATTTTACCTTGGTGTACCATGACCATGGCAATGTGTACTAACATGACCAGTGGCTGGACAGACAGTAAAACTGCAGCTTAACTGCCTGTTTTTACAATCCACCACCCACCCATGTAAACCAGGCCAAATGTAACCCCTCAACTGAGGTCCCTGACATCGCCAAAGGTCCATACATAATAGTCAGTTAATGTACTGCTACAGAACACTGTTGGATACTGTAAATCTGCTGTAGAAGTTGTTAGAGAGTGGGGACATACTATGGGCAGCCCAGTGGCTAGGTAGTTAGCACTTACACCTATCAGCACCAGTCGTTAGTTTGAATGCCAACCATGGCACTACCTGCCTGGAGTTTGCATGTTCTCCCTGTGCCTACGTGGGGTTTCCTCCAGGTACTATGGGTTCCTCCCACTCTCAGACATACTAGTAGGTTTATTGGCTTATATCTAAATTGGCCCTAGTATGTGTATGTATGAATGGGAGTTAGGGACCTTAGATTGTAAGCTCCTTGAGGGCTTGAATGCTGCATGAATTGTCGGAGCTCTAAGTATCTGTAATAAATAAATAGGAGACAGTCATAGACTGGAGGTACGTTACATGAGACTGATAGAATTCACTATTGCAACCCCTTTACAAACCAGTGTTTCATATTTGGACTCTCTGCAGCTGACCTTAAAAATTTCTTTTGCCACGGTTCATACGGTTGAGTACTGCTTAGACCTGAAGAAGGGGACATTCCCCGAAAGCTTGTCCTCAAAATTGTATGTTAGTGCAAATAAAATAAGTATCACGGACAGTACTCAATTGTTTTTGTGCCACGGTTGACATTTCTCCTTGGTAAGACCCATTAAAAAGGAAGGAAAAAACATAAAAAAGAGAAAAAAAAGAATGGACAGCACAGAAGAAGAGTGAAGTTGTAAAAAAAAAAAAATAGCCAGCTAAGGTGATTGATGGAAGTTGGAGCTGGAGCAGTTCTTGAGCCAGCCAGGAGCCATTTCAGCCAGACCTTGTGGCTTTTCCTCCGCTTTCTCTTATTCTGTTCTTTTTGTTTCCTTATGTTCATGCAAAGCTACACCAGCCTGCACAGGAATATTGACTATGATCCTGGATTGTACACTGTAAGCTGTAGGTCTTGAAGATAAGATATATGAGAAACCGTAATATTTTTTTTCCATAATATTTTTTTTTTTTTTCATAATATTTTATTGAGACCCCACTTTAAGACCAGCCCATTGTACCTTTACTGCTACAGGGCAGCTGTTCTGTGCAGAATCACGTATATAAACGTAATTCTGCATTTCCAGGTAGGGGGCCCGCGCGGGCCCGCCTGGCGGCGCTGTGAATCATCACAGCACATGCCAGTTACCAGGTGCCAGTTGGTGATTGGCCGCCAACACCCGGCAATCGGCTCTGATACTCTGAGAACGCAGCTCTGTCAGTTTTAACCGCACAGAGCTATGTTCATTGACAGGCGATCTAGTTGATGTTTCATGTTCTATAGCAGAAAGTAAACAATATTTTTTTTTTCAAAATTGTTGGTCTTTTTTTCTTTTATATCATAAAAAGTAAAAAACTCAGAGGTGATCAAATACCACCAAAAGAAAGCTCTATTTGTGTGGAAATAAAATATAGAAATTTCGTTTAGGTACAGCATTACAATTCCACGCAATTATCAGTTAAAGTAGCACAGGGCCACATAGCAAAAAAATGGGCTAGTCATGAAGAGGGGGGGGGGGGGTAAATCTTTCGGAGGGCAAGTGGTTAATCCCACTCCATCAGTGATAGGTAGAGGAACTCATTATTAGACCATACGCTTTTGTATGAAGTTATTGCTATGGTCACCTATTACTATATCTACTGTATATCTTTCAGTATTTCATTGATGGAGTGTACCTATTCATTTGAAGTATCAGGCATACCAGTGTATAATCTTGAATGCATTGCTACATTTTTATAAAGATAAAAACAAGCCAGTCTAAAGACATTTCATTCATTGGCCAAAGTAAACACCTACGTAAGAAAACCTGCTCTCTGCAGAGGTCCCAAGTGCTGCACACAGAGTGTCAAAGGGGTGGCAGGTTGGGCACCAGGGGCAGACTGATAACTCATGGGGCCCCTGGGCATAGGAAATCATGGGTCCCATGTGTCCTCATTCACACTCAAACCACACCCAAAAAAGCCTATGAAAGGTACCAGGGACATCTCATGGGGCCCCCTACTGACCCTGAGCCCTCGGGCACTGCCTGAGTGCCCAAATGGTCAGTCTGCCCCTGCAGGGGACTATATTCTTCAACAAAGTTTTAACCTGATTTTTAAACTGATGGTTACCCAGAGTTATGTAGAGCAATGGAGGAGAAGGAATGAGTGTTTCAATAAAGTGTGGTTAAAACTTTTCAAAAAGTTTGAAAGTCCTGTTCTGTAGAGCTAGTATTCAAATCGAATACAGAATAGAAAGGCCTAGTTCTCTATCATATATAAACCCCCTCCTGTAATGCATGATAGCAATTTCTTTTAATTAGCGACCACATAATTAACTAAGTGATATGTTAATGTTAGCACCCTGCTGTAAATAATGAAAATAATGTGTTATTTTTCTCACACATGTTTAAGGCTGTTTCTGCATCTGTATAGTACAGGAAGATCTTGACACAGAGATCTTTAAACAGCTGGTGCACACAATCCTCTTTTTTTTCCCTTTAAACAAGATCCATAAAAGAATAATTAAAGACTAGAATAGCTCATTTGAACTTATATATGTTTAAAGTAGAGCTAAAGGCAAAAGTAAGAATAAAGAGTAAAGGAGGGTTATAACCACTCAGTTTTTTTTTTCTGCCATCTGTGTCATTGGGGTGGATTTCTGTTAACCTGCCCAGTCGGACAGCTGGTGCTAGACTATTATGTGCCCTAGGCAAGACTAGCTATTTGTGCCCCCCCCCCCCCCCCAAATAAATAAAAGTTGACAAACCATGAAATCGCAAAATTTCTTTTAAGTTGCAAAAATAAGAGCCATAAGATGCCACCAGCACCAGTATTAAAGACAAAATATATATTAACCAAAAGTAAATTAACTGTATTATCCAATCAGAAAGAGTGTCAGGAATGGACCCTGACCATTCTCTGCCTGACCCTCTGCACCGCGCTGCCAGACTCCCGTGAGTTACTGAACCCAGCTTGTGACCCCAACCACTCTCCCGCCTGTTCCTGGTACTCTGTTTGCCCGTTTGCTACTGACCCGGCCTGCCTGACGACTCTTGCATTGTATGTATTGTTATCTGTAGTTGGTTTGGTTTGTTTGCACTGTGTTTAGGTTTAGTTTTGCACTGCGTTTTGTATTGTTAGTCTTAATAAATCATATTGTTTATACCATATCTGAAGCCTGCATTTCCCTGTGTCAGTCCACACACCTCTGGTCATACCCAGAGCCCTGAAAAAGAGAAACAAAAAAAATTTTTACAAAACTCCACAGTGATTAGCAGCCACCAGCTGGCTTGCAGTAAGAGACTTAGTCTGAGAGGAACACTGGAAGGAGTGGCAGCTCAGCTACACACCCAGCATCTTCCGTCGTCCTTTCTCCCCCCCCCTTCTTCCACCACTCCCTTCAGCTGAAGGATCATTTATGATGTGCCAGCCTCCCACACGATCAATCAGCATCTGCTCCCCTCACCCTAAACATTGTACGCCCCCCTCCTTCTCCTGTCACCTCCATAACCCGCTCACCTCTGAAAGCTCCTGCTGAGGTGCGGAGTCCAGTCTGCGGCTTAGGTGAGGACAGGTGGCCTCCGGGCACTACACCGCTTCCCTCTCATTCACATCAGGCCCCGATCATCCTACTCACATGCAACCAGAGCACACCCCCACCTATTGATTGGCTCCAGCTGTGTAGAAGAAGGCAGGGCCAGCACTGGACACGCTCCTTTCAGTCACTAGCTGGCTCCCTGTTATAGCTGGAGGATCGTGTATGTCGGTGTGTGTACCGGAGATGTATGGACCAATCCTCCGATCAGGTTCTGCTGACCGCCTGGGGTCCTGGGCTATTGTCATCACTTCCCATCCTAGGGGGAGCCAACACTTCACTGCTACATGGAATACTGAGAGATATATATATATGTACTAAATGGTCATGTGTGTGGACAGGCTGTGAGACAATTGTGCAGAGTAAAGATACCATCATTCCTTTATCATTCCCTGTGTATGAGGAGAGGGTGACCCTGCAGAGAAATGTAGAATTAATACAAGAGGTCCATAGGCCACACACAGAGAGTTGCCGGCCTGTGCTGCCCCAAGATGTTTCTACGTGGCAGTGCACCCTAGACAGCTGCCTAATTTGCCTAGTGGAAGTTCCGGCCCTGTTCCCGTCCCATAGCCAGAAAATGAAAGGAAATCAAAGTGAACTAATCTCTTGTCACCAGGGTCTTGAGAACTAATGTCCTCATTGGTAGATTTCCCCTCTACTCCTGTTCTGGCGATAGCTCAATGATGGTCTTAACAAGGAACTTTTAAATTGCCATTACCTGGGAAGGGGCTACAGAAAATTGTCTGTGAATTGGTGTGGCAAAATTGGGCTGTGGCCAAAACATTGGTGCATTAAGCAGCTGCAGCGATGACCAAGATATCGTTGTTCAGAGCTGGCAATGCTGAACGAAGTAAACGTAATCTGAGCAGCTAAAGAGTCGCTGGATTAATTTTGACAAGGCATGGAGGTCTGCCACCCCCCTTTACCTGATCCCCCCCACCCAAAAAAAAAAAGTGCCAAATGTGGCAGTGGAGGTGGGGAAGAGGCAGACAAGAGGGGCTTCCCATTTTTAGGGTGGTGCTCAGCTTTAAAGTGTTCCTAAACCAAGGACCCGCATTTTCTATGTCTGGTCTCCCACAGTACACACAACATGGAAATGCAATTATTTTAGTAAATACAAAATGCTAAATACCTTTTCTAATCAGCAGTTGAAGCAGTCCTGTGACTTCTATCAGTGCTCGGCTGAGTACTGGTTAATCTTGTAGGAGGAGTTTTCATTCTCCCATGATTGTCCTATGAGGCTGCAGGACCCATGACCCTCTCTCTGGACAGTGCTGATTGGCCCTGGGCTGATCACATGCACTCTCCCAAAGAAAAAAAAAAGCTCTCTAGCAATACCTACTAAAGTGAGCACGTGCAGAGTTACTCCTAGACCTCTGTACTGTTAGCAAATGGATTGGGGACAGTAGAAGAAGGGGAGGATCAGAGAAGTCAAGATCAAACATCCTTTTTACACAATGCAGAGGATTAACCCCTTAGGTTCTACAGTGAGTATAACAAGCATGCTTTACTGCATATACAGACTGATTTTACTGCTTTGGGTTTAGTAACACTTTAAGCGTCAATCAGTTTAACAAGCTTCACAATTGGCATTTTTTTTTCTGATTCCTAAAAAAAAAAAAAAAAAGATCACTGATGATTTCCATGAGCTCATTCAAGAGTCTAAGTCGAGTTTACAGAACCAAGGTGAAAGCTGAGAAAATTTGAGAAGATCTCACCTGACAGATATTCAATACTCGTATCCTTTTCATTAGAAGATAATTCTAACAAGTCACCATGAGATTTGTAGCTGTTTTTATATAAATACCTGAGAATGAGACAAATACATTTCTTGTCATATTTGTGAAATCAGAACAAGTCACTTTGTTTTATGCCAGCCCATATTTTGTGATTCTGATTTCTATTGCTAGAAGCAAAATACAAGCGGAGTTCAGTTAACTGTTCCACAAAAAAAAAAAATACTATAGAACATTGAGTAGTTGTGGATATCTTAAATATTTATTACATCATTGAACAGCAGAAACCTAATTTATTCATTGCGCCAATTCAGATGATTTCTAATTCATCGTGAAAATAAAAAAATGGAGCTCTGGCTGAATTATTTGTCAACCCTTTTACCACTCTCTGACCCAGCACTGGCCTTGTTCTGGGTTGAATGACACCCAGCCAGGAGCGGACTGACCATTTGGAAACTCGGGCAATGCCCGAGGGCCCGGGGTCAGTAGGGGGCCCCATGAGATGCCCCTGGTACCGTTTTCATAGGCTTTTTTGAGTTTGGGCAAGGACACAGGGGCCCCATGATCCCCTATTGCCCGGGGGCCCCATGAGTTGTCAGTCTGCCCCTGCACCCAGCATCATTCAGCCCACTTCTTGTGAGTCCAGGGTGTCATGAACCTGTCCTTTGGGGGCACATCCTGACAGCAGCCTAGGCTCAGCAGTGCTTAACAGCATGGCACTAATATGTCATTACTGAGCCCCGCACTGGCCAGGGAGAAAGGGCCGCCCATTGCTACTACTGAGGAACAAGGACCAATGACATCAGTGGACCACCAAGAAGACTGCAGGATTGAATACATGTATTCATTGTCATTAAAGTGGTTGTAAACCCTCACATATACCCAGTGGAGTGACCGGCCTCAGGGAAATATAAAAAAACAAATGAAACAAATCCTCCTACAAAAGCCTCCTCTTCTCTGCAGTCCTTAAGGGCCAGTTCACACCATGCGTTTCAGTTGCTTTTTTTCTGCAAAACGCACAGAAAGTAGGTTATATGATTGTCAATGTCATAGTTCACATCAGTGCTTGCAGTTCCAGTGTGTTCCGGCTGTAGAAGTAAAAGTAGAACAGGCTGCATTTTTTCTGCATAGAATTGTACTGGAACACGGTAAAACGCACCAAAAACACACTGGAACGCACATGTCCCTATTTAAATTGAAGAAAAAGAGAGGGGAAAAAATGGACTGGAATGCATAAAAAATGCTCTGGAACAGGTCAAAAACATATAAAAAATGCACCGGAACGTGCCAAAAACGCATCCAAAAAAGTGAATGCAAAAAATGCATCCGGAACACATCTAACTGCATTTCTATAGTGTGAACCGGCCCTCAAAGTGTAGAATTTAACCACCTCCAGATCATCGATGTACCCATACGTCGCTGGACTTCGGATGGTTATACTGGAGTGATGCCCAGGGCATAAATAGATATTTTTTTTATTCTGGGAGGGTTCAGCAGCTGGTACCAATTATAAGTTTTTAAATAACATAAATTGCGCCAAATTCATAAAGATTGTAAAAAGGAAAATGAAATGTGTTGCCCACAGTAAGCATTCACATACTTAAAGATGAGTTCCAGGCTTTTTTTTTTTTTCTCCCTTGAAAACAATGGTCTTCCTCTTCAGTCTGTTTTGGCAATATATATGTAGATTTTTTTTTCCTAAATACCTTTTATTGGTAATTTCTGTCTTCACTTCCGGTCCCAGCCACCTAGGCAGTTACTTCATCAGGCATTGAATGAGGAAAGAAAAAACAGAGGGCGCACAGTCCTAGTGCATTACCATAAAAAATGTTTAATAAAAAAATAAAATAGGTGTTGTACTCACAAACGACAATATAGTCAAGGCACACCATAAAGAACAGCTGGGTCAACACCGCACTGAGTTACAGTCCGCAATAGGGAGTGTAGACATCCAAAAGACTGACGCGTTTCGAGTACTTGCCTCTTCCTCAGAGCCAACTGACCAAATGTCTGCTCCCTCTTTTATATGCTCACTACTAGTTAAACCAAAGGTCACATGGGCCATCCTGGACACTCCCCTGTGCAGGTGGAGGAGTCACAGGGGCAATCGACATAGTGTAAGTAAATACAAAAGGTCTATAAAAATATATATATATGTGTATAAATAAAACCATTGAAACTAGTGACAATCATAAAATCATATGAACCATAAGAAGTGTGCACAGTGAAAAATAAATAAGTGGAAAGTTATACATATATATATAAAATAAAAATCCTTCCCTGGTGATGCACTGCACTGCTCGCCTTTAAATAAATGGATGGATGGATGGATGAGCAACGCTACGAAGCTGCCTAGTGCTCTGCTTGCCATAGACAACCATGGGACATGGATTTAATATAGAGAGTAGATCTGAAACCCAGCAGAGACACTTATTAATTCATAGAGATGCAGTCTACAGGGTGTGTGCTTATCATTCTAGTATAGTCATATGATGAAACGTAGGCATGTGTGGCAATGTAGTGCACCATGGATGGATATGCATATGCGATACTATATACAAGAACAAAGGAGATAAATCACTAGTAAAACATAAATGTTGATATAAAACGTTACAAAAAACTTCTTAATATGGTTCACAAAGTTTAAATAAAATAAAATTAAAGAAGTATTGTTACAATATAGTATAATATCTGGTAAAATTGTTATAGTGTATGGTATACGCGTGTATGCATAGACATGGAAGCATAAGAAATATAAATATATAGGAAATTAAAGGGAAAAAAAAATTAATAATTATATAAAAAATGTATAAAAGATGTATATGTGTGTTATATATAAGAATTATATAAAAATGTCAAAGGTGTTATGGAACAAGCACTTGCAGGATAGGATCAGGCATTTCCTTGGGCTTCTGGGATATCGGCGTCATCTATTCCAACAGTCTTAGGGAATGCCTAATACCAAAATCTCGCATTATTATGAGACCGGAAGTGACGCGATCGCAGGGATTTCTTCACACTGCGCAGCTGGGAGATCGCTCCTTCTTCACACTGTGAAGGTGCGAGGACCGACCCGCTCCTTCTTCATACTGCGCAGGTGTGAGACCGCTCCTTCTTCACACTGCGCAGGTGCGAGGCTGCTCCTGCTTCACACTGCGCGGGTGCGAGATCGCTCCTTCTTCACACTGCGCAGGTGCGAGACCGCTCCTTCTTCACACTGTGCGAGACCGCCTCTTCTTCACACTGCACAGGTGCGAGACCGCTCCTTCTTCACACTGCGCAGGTGCGAGGTCGCTCCTTCTTCGCACGGCGCAGATGTGAGGTCGCTCCTTCTTCACACTGCGCAGGTGCGAGGTCGCTCCTTCTTCACACTGCGCAGGGTGCGAGGTCGCTCCTTCTTCACACTGCGCAGGTGCGAGGTCGCTCCTTCTTCACACTGCGCAGGTGTGCGAGGTCGCTCTTCACACTGTGCGAGACCGCCTCTTCTTCACACTGCGCAGGTGCGAGACTGCTCCTTCTTCACACTGCGCGAGACCGCCTCTTCTTCACACTGCGCAGGTGCGAGGTCGCTCCTTCTTCACACTGCGCGAGACCGCTCTTCTTCGCACTGCGCAGGTGCGAGGTCGCTCCTTCTTCACACTGCGCAGGTGCGAGGTCGCTCCTTCTTCACACTGCGCAGGTGCGAGATCGCTCCTTCTTCACACTGCGCAGGTGCGAGATCGCTCCTTCTTCACACTGCGCAGGTGCGAGACCGCTCCTTCTTCACACTGCGCAGGTGCGAGATTGCTCCTTCTTCACACTGCGCAGGGTGCGAGGTCGCTCCTTCTTCACACTGCGCAGGTGCGAGGTCGCTCCTTCTTCACACTGCGCAGGTGCGAGGTCGCTCCTTCTTCACACTGCGCAGGTGCGAGGTCGCTCCTTCTTCACAATGCGCAGGTGTGAGGTCGCTCCTTCTTCACACTGCGCAGGTGCGAGACCGCTGCTTCTTCACACTGCGCAGGTGCGAGGTCGCTCCTTCTTCACACTGCGCAGGTGCGAGATCGTTCCTTCTTCACACTGCGCAGGTGCGAGACTGCTCCTTCTTCACACTGCGCAGGTGCGAGGTCGCTCCTTCTTCACACTGCGCAGGTGCGAGTCCGCTCCTTCATCACATTGCGCAGGTGCGAGGTCGCTCCTCCTTCACACTGCGCAGGTGCGAGGTCGCTCCTTCTTCACACTGCGCAGGTGCGAGACCGCTCCTTCTTCACACTGCGCAGGTGCGAGACCGCTCCTTCTTCACACTGCGCAGGATCAAAACTGGGAAGTGCATGCTGGGTAGCCAGCTGCATAATTTCCCGGAAGAATGTCTGAGCGAGCTTCAGGTGCCCACGCTTAGAATGACAGCGTTCACAATATGAGGGTGCAGTAATTACATTTATTTTTTATAAGGAAAGCAAAGAATTACAGTACAAGTACAGGTGATCTCAACTTGCATTGCCTAAGCTGCCACTCTCACGTGGGCGCCTTTAGAAAAAAAATAATTAAACAGCTGGAACTCCACTTTAATTCTTTATTCTTAAGTCCTCTTGAAAATTAAATATCCTTTCAGTTTTTCCTTCTTCCAGTTTTTATGAACGTGGCCCAGTACAAAAAATACACTGCATGAAGATATAATATAGAAATACTATAGTACAGACCAGGTCCTCTAAAGACCGATGGTGAGCAGATAATTCCACAGGAGCAACAATTCAGCAGGATTACTGGTCACAGAAAAAAAAAAAAAACACTGCGTGGACACAAAGTATCAGATATGCCCCTTAACTACTGAGCCATCATATATAATTTTACACACAAATATGCACATGGTATTAGGAGCTCTTTTTTAACAAAATGTTCTTTAAATGCCTCTTTAGGTAGCAAAGGAATTTACTGTATATGATGCTGTGCTGCTTGTTAGTGTGTTGGGTGCTTTAGCGGAGAGTCATCAGGGCTGTTGCACGGTGTCATTGGGTATTTTTCAGGTGCAGGTAATTGCTCCTCCAGCTGCCTTGTGTGTGCTCTGGGTCATATCCCAATGGGCATTCTGGCTCTTGAGAACAATAGCAAGCACACCTGCTTATAACTGGATGGCAGTAATGGATTTCAGGACTTTGGAGAGATACCAAACTGCATAAAATGGTATTTTGTACACTAAGCTACGTTTATTCCAAATGTTATCTTAAAGCGGGCTTATACTCATGTAGTCTGCTTTGTTGGGATGGAAAAATAGTCATTAATGGGGCTGGAGTTTTTGTCTTTTTGGAGCATATGGTTCATCGTGCTTCCTTTGGGTTAGTTCAGTCTGAAATTTGTTGGCAAGGCGCCCTGAATATATATATATTTTTTTACATATAAAAAAGTCATTGTAACGTATATATTTTTTACATATATTTGTAAATGCATTCCAAAAATGTAGATTTGTATTTTTAAAGACATACAGTATATTTGAAATGTATTTTAAAAAATATTTTTCATATATTTTGTAATAAAAATGCATTTCAACATGCAGTATATATATATATATATATATATATATATATATATATATATATATATTGAAATGTATTTGGTAATATATTGAATATCTCCAAAATTGTAGCATTTCAAATACATGTCAATATATTTGGGAAGAATATTTTTCAAATATATTTCAAATATATTTTTCTTCCGTATGGGCTGATACACATGCTTAGGGTTAGAGAAGTTTGAGGGATACAGGAATGACTCAAAGTGACCTTGTCTAAGGAGACTGGGGGAAAGCTTCATGATATTACCTATGCTGAGTAGCTGAACAGCTTATTAGGAACTGTAGCTGTCTGTTAAAAAATAATTTGGCTATATGTCAAATATGCAGCATTGAGTTGGAAATATGAATATCACCAGTGGAGAAATTGGAGCTACAGATGTATGCAAACATAAGACGGGCCTTGTATGATTGAACATTATTTGGGTTCTTTGAAGTGTTCACATGTCTTAAGGTTGATGTAAACCCTTACTGGATGACATTTCATTTGCTAACGCACTCTGTATCATAGAAATGGACATGTTTTTTCCAAATCATATAATTGTACCTGTCGATTTTCCCCCATCTCCATGCACTCCAGCAATGGTTGTGTAATATATCATGGTGACAACAGTAAATTGTGGCTGTGTAACGTGTATTAAAACGGCTGCTTATAGTCTGTAGGAAATCTGTGTGATAGATTGACAGTGAGAGACAGAAACAGTGTTGTCACCTCTTAACAGGAAGTGCTTGAACAAAGGATCGGCCAAGTATTATTTTACCCACTTTAAGACCAGCTAACGTACATGTACGGCACCAGCTTAAAGTGGTTCTACCGAGATGCTACCTGCAGCTGCAGACATCATGTCGGTATTTTTAATTTTTTTCTACAGGTGATTGGCTTTTATGTAAAAGCCATTCTAGTGGCTAATTAGCTGCTGAATTGCTTTTACAGGCTGCAGAAGTGGGTTCCCCCTCCCCCTGCGCTCCGGTGTCTCTCCTGGCTCTCACGTCCCACCAGGGACTGAAGCTGGGTTAACATAGAGATCATTGTGGACTAGATCTTCCCCTATTATCTTTATGGTATAGGCAAGGCTTTTTTTTTCTCAGAAAATAGGTGCAGGAACTCCCTCTTTCCGAGTCACTGCTTGTTTTTGCCCCCTACTCACCTCTGAGCACCGTTCCTGGTCCCACCCCCTAACCACCACCCTTTAGAAATTACAGAACCAAATATCAGTTTTTGTATAACATATATTAATGATAACAAGAAAAGCAGTAAAATATATCCCCTGCAGCCAGCAACAATGGATCCCCCAGCAACAATAGACCCCTGGCAGCCAACAACAATAGACCCCTCCTTCAACAGAAGATCCCTCCCAGCAACAATTTACATCCCAGCAACATAAGACCCACCCCCAACAATAGAGCCCCCACCAGCAACAACAGATCTCCCCCAGCATGACTAGACCCCCCATGTAAAAATAGATCCCCTCCAGCTACAATAGATCCACCAGAAGCTAGCATCAATGGACCCTGCAGTACACCCCAGCACGCCTTGTCATTACATACATTCAGGGCGGGAGGTGCCACAACTGCGTTCCCCTTGCGTCCCCCCCACGTTCCCTCTGAAAAAAAGCCTTGGGAGCAATAAGTATTTCTTGCTTTCACTTTCGGTATTTTGTTTACAAACCATTACTGGCTTGTGAAAGCATCGAATCAGACTGATCTTGGTCTAATCTGGTGCTTTTAGGGGCAGAGGAGACATCTGGGGTCTAGTGGACCTATCACTGCCTACTAATTTTTTTCTAGCAAAAAAAATACTGATTTCTACATGTAAACAAAAAGTGTCAGAATAGGCCTGATTGGCAAATCAAAAATATTCTAAACACTTTTTGTAAAAGCTTATGTGATATTTCAATGAGTAGGTTTACACATATTGTAAAGTACTTGTCAAAATATCTCCGCTCATCCACTTTGCATAGAGTGCTTCCTCTATGTATCTACCCTATTTTTGTCAGCTCTAGCATCTCTTAATATGTTTTCTTTGCATGCACAAATCAATTTGCAGTCAACTTTGTTACAGTCAGCTGATGATATGAACACAGCCTTCCCACAGTCCAACTTTTGATAGTTTCTATATATACAGAAATAATTATGATAAGCAGTAGGGATAGTTGGATGCATTATGAGCCATAGCCTGACATCTTGCGCAATCTCATCCTCAGAATTGTGGGTAACTCCTGTCAATTCCGCTTGTGACAAGATAGGCTTGAACAGGATCCTTGCCATGCTCTCGGGAGTCATCGAGACCCTTTGATGTTCATAGAGAGAGCCAAGATGTTTGTGTAATTAATGAGGCAGCTGCACTCAACTCCTGTCTTTCTAACATGAGCTCAGCTACCATAGACCGTGTACATCTATTCTGTAACCCGTGTCTTATATTGTTACCTTAGCAGATACGAAAAAATAAGATGAAATAAAAAAAATATATATTTACAGTATATTACGAAGAAGGGATATGCTCTGACAGCTGTTTCCTCTCAGGCAAGATTTTATTTTTACAAATAGAATATCCTTGAAAGAGCACTGTCAATGTCAGTTAAGGGTAAGCCACAGGTAAGGGAGATGTGAAAAGTAAACTTTGATGAAAAACATTTACACACAGTTGTAAGGAGAACATGTCCACACAGATGAGTTTTCACCAAAGACCTTCAGGAACAATATCATTCTGCCAAGGAGCCATCAATCTCCGCAACCCTTGTAGTTCTTGGAATGAAATAATACCTTGTCCTTGTGACCTCTTGCAACCTCATCACAAACATGGTAGAAATATATTAGAACATGTTTTAGCGATGGACAAGGTTGCAGTAATTCCAAAATAGAATTTGATTTTAGGTCACCTTTGAGAAACTGCTAAAACTGAAACTATAGTTTTTGTTTTTTCCTAAGACATACATAGAGGAATTCAGCTTAAAGTATAGCTGCCAGTGCCTTTAAATAGACATTTCCATAACTGCAAGAATAAATTCCTGACATGTCAGTTTATATTTTTCAAAAAATCTGCACTTGCTATTCACAATGCAAGGGGTGCAGCAGGGGCTAAGCTATGTCAGGCATGTGTAAACATAGTCAAGAACTGCACAAGCACCAGAAATTACACAATTGTGTCATCTCAGTCACGGCAGTAGATAGTGACCCCTATATCAGGAGTATCCAACCCACAGTCAACAATGGCTATGAATGTGGCCCAATATAAAATCATAAACTTGCTTATAAATTTCGATTTTGTTGTGCTTTTATTTTTATAAAAATGTATTTACATTTAGTGAACTCACATGTCTCTTAATTGGACCTTT